GAAGGAGGGAAGGAAGGAAAGAAGGAAATAAGGAAGGAAGGAAGGAAAGAAGGAAATAAGGAAGGAAGGAAGGAAGGAAGGAAGGAAGGAAGGAAGGAAGGAAGGAAGGAAGGGCTCTTCTTATAAAAACAGAGGTCTTCCAATTAGAAGAAAGTGGAATAGAAACAAGACGGGTCTTAAGAGGAGATTAAGACCGTAATGACAGTCACTGCTCTTAATACCTCTGGTAACCTGTAGGATTATAGGAGCAAAGAAATGCTGCTTCTGCTGCAGTTTTATCTTAAATAAAAGCACAGCAACACCATTTATTTAAAGCAGTATTTCACTTATTAATTTATTTAGATCATATGCAAAAATATGTACACTTGTGCACAAATATGTACATATGTTTGTCAATACATTTTAGCACCACTTACCATACTTGAAAAGTGGACTGTGCTTCCTACTCAAAGACAGGAAGATACGTCAAAAAAAATGGAAGCTTGCATCGTATATGCCTGCTATTCCTTAAACCCAAAATATTTCTTTTTTCTTGGGAATACATTGCAACTGATTAGGGGATGTACAGGCAGCTACTATGTCTTTGCCGAGAGTCATAGTCACGTCAATGTATCTATTTGTCTGTCAAAAAGAATATTCAAGGTATGTTCAGCGGTGCTCATTGCATTGCTCATTAAGACACCACTCAGGTTAAAACTTTGTAAGACATAAAAATAGCCCCAAAGCAGTTCCAAACTGCAATGTTTTTATTCTCTTGTCCCTCCAGCACAGGCTGCAGCCAGCCATGCTAAGCCCATTTCAAAACTGAGCAAGTTTAATACCTTTTCCATCTAAGAATGATAGAAACGAGAATTTCATATGACATGTCTAGAATATTAACCTCTGCAGAAAAGAGGTTTGGAAGCCACTGATTGGTGCCCCTCCCCTAAGGGGTCATGGAGAAGATTACCATTTTTTAATTAGATTTTTTTGAATCCTGCCCTTATTATTTTTTATAAATAATTTCAGACATATGTAATACAGGTAGTCCTTGACTTATGACCATCATTGAGTCCAAATTTTCTGTTGCTAAGCACAATATTTGTTAGGCGAATTGTGCTCCATTTTACAACTTTTCTTGCCACAGTTGTTAAGTGAATCACTGCAGTTGTTAAGTAACAGGGTTGTTAAGTAAATCTGGCTTCCCCATTGATTTTTCTTGTCAGAAGTTTGCAAAAGGTGATCATGTGAACCCAGGACACTGCAGTTGTCATAAATATGTCCCATTTGTCCAGCATCTGAATTTTGATCAGGTGACCATGGAGATGCTGCATTTTTCACTCACTTTTTGTAAAATTCCCAAAGGCGCTTTTTCAAGAGACAACTGGACTTTCTTGTTTTTCTTTGAAGACGTTTAGCTTCTCATCCAAAAAGCTTCTTCAGCTCTGATTGGATGGTGGGGAATGGAAGGATTTATACGCCTTGCAAACAGCTGGTCATTTGCATTCTTGTAGCAGGTCATTACGGTCACCTGGAGGTTTATCTGTGTCCTTAGGATAACCTGAGTGGTGCAAATGGGTGTGGAGCCTTCTTGGAACTGTTGAAAGGACTGTGTTATAGACTGGAGATAGATGATGTCAAAAAGACCATCTATGTCAAAATTGAACAGCCCTCTCTCAACGGGGGGGAGGAGTACAACATCATCTATTTCCAATCTACAACACACTCAGGTGACTCTGATGACACAGATAACCCTCCAGGTGACCTTAGCGACCCGCTAAAAGAAGGCAAATGACCAGCTGTTTGCAAGGAATATAAATCCTTTCATTCCCCACTATCCTGTCAGAGCTGAAGAAGTTTCTTGGATGAGAAGTGAAACATCTTCAAAGAAAAACCAGAAAGTCCAGCTGCTTCTTGAAAAAACACCTTTGGGACAACCATGACCTGGATGACTGAGAATCTCCATGGACTTTTTGTCAGAGTGAAAAATGGTCCAAAGTAACTTTTTTCAGTGCTGTTGTAACTTCAAATGGACAGGAAACAAACTGTTGTAATTTGAGGACTACCTGTACTCATGCCTTCTCCTATTTTCAACATAACAAGAACCTTGTGAGGTGGATTGAACTGAGAAAGAGTGACTGGCCCAAAGTCACCCAGCTAGTTTTCATGCCTAAGGCAGAACAAGAACTCACAGTCGCCTGGTTCCTATGCCAGCATCTTAACCACTAGACCAAACTCCTTTGCAAATATTTGACTTCTTGAGATTGACAAGATTTGAACTAGTGCTTTATTAGTGATTCATTTTTCATCAAAGCTATTCAAAAATGGCTCCTTTGCAGGTTACCAAAGCGATGTGCTGCAGATCTCTCTCTTACTTATAAACGCCTGGCCTGCTGGCAGGCATGAGGAGGGACATGTGGTGTGTCTTCCCCCCACTTCTTTTTGTGGCATTTTTTCACACTGATCAGACATGAATATATTATTTCAACCATTCTTGGAATGGCTTGCTATCAAAGTTATTCTCTCTCAATTTTTCCTAGGATTAAAGCATTAAGGCACAGTGCAACTCAAAGGCCACTTACTAATTGGAATGAGGGATCTTCAGTGCAATTAGGTACTTGCAGTGCCTCAAACAGGAGCAGCATTACCAGTTATAATTAGCTGTATTTGCCAAAAAAAAAAAAAAAAGACAAAGAAAAAAAAGACAAAGAGTAAAGAGGGGTCAGCATAACGACCCACGATGTATTTTGTAATGGTCATTATGGACGATTGAAAAATCAGTTACACTCAGTTACTGCAGGACGTTGCCCTATTGTTAGGATTCGTAGAAATTATTGTATGAACGTTGAACAAAAATCATTTCCTTTTTGTTAAAAATGCAACTACTTATCGCCATAGCACTTGATTGGTCTTTGTCAATGTTTGGTCAGAAATGCTGTTTTGAAGTATTGGTTGTCAGCTTAATTGGATCAAACCTATAGCTAGAATGAGGTGAGAGATGATGGACGATTGAAAAATTACATTCAGTTATTGCAGAATGTTGCCCTATTGGTTGGATTCCAGGCATGTTGTTAGGATTGAGAAGTTAAAGAAAAATCCAAAAGCCGAAGGCAAATGACTTTTTACTAATGCTGCCCTCTACTCCTATGCACACACAACTTATGCTTATCTTGAGTAGAGTTTAACTGAAGGAAGATTTTGTATCACACGTCTTCAAATGTCTGCAGATGTCCAAGTTTTCCTGTTTTGTTTTGTTTTGTTTTAATTTCCAAATGGTCACTCACGCTGTCTTTTAAAGAATTAGCAATAAACAACTTTTCCAACCCAAGGTTCAAAGAATTTCAAAGTTTTGTAAAAATACTATGAAAAATATAGTTTGTGTTGATTAAGCAAACTAAGGTCTCTCTCGTGTACTTCTGCATCATGCATTGAACATGGCACTGGAGAAGCAATCCAGTCTGAAGGATTTCAAATTTAAGAAATGCCTAAATCCATTTACTAATAGGCAGTTGCTCTGTGCTTGGTTCTTCCCATTCCTTTTCATTGTGGAGTGTTACCTTTTGGCTTATGAGTCCATAAGCAGAGATTAACATGTCTTTCAATATTTTTGTGATGCTTGTAAAGTGATGATTCCTATATATTTTTGATTAACAATAATACCTTGGTATTAATAAAGTTTGTGTGAATGTGAAAAATGAGAGAATATACACTGTAACCTGAAGATAGATTTTTGTTTCTTTGGGGAATTAAACAATAGCTCCAGACTGCAGTTACTGATGGATGCCTATTCAAAAATTTGCATAGACCATGTTTGGTTATCTCTGGTTGACAAAGGGCAAGGTTAATGTTGATATTTTATCCTGTCTGATTTGTGAAAATTAGATTTATTCTTTTTCCTGATTATCTACTTGATACATTTGACCTCAGTTTTTGACAATCAAGGTGATTTCTTTCAAGTCTCAGATAGAAAATGCTAAGCAGTATGTCAACAAAAGGGCCATTTACCATGTCATCAGTCGTCTGGAAAATTGAATACAGTTTCCATTCTCTTTCCCATGTTTTATTCTTCATCTCAGTAATTGGATATTAATAAATAGGCCACCATAATAGTCATATATAAAACCTCAACTTAAGAGACTAATGGAGTGTCCATTAAAGCAGGATATCCGTTAAATCCAAAAATGCTTTTCTCAATGCATAAAATTATACATAGAATTTAATGCACACACACAAACATACAGAATATGGAACATGTATTTGTCCATTGCATCCAAGTTCAGTCAATCAAGGCCTGTTAAATCTGTGTTTCTGTATACTGGATTTCCTTGGACATCATTGTATTTTTTGAATTATTTTGTTTTAGAAGATTACGAAAAATATAAGGTACCAGCATATACACAATTAAATTTACAACTTTTAAAACTTCTGGAGGCAAGTTGTTCTGCTGATTAATTGTTCTACCTGTCAGGAAATTTCTCCTTAGGTATCTAGGTTGCTTCTCTCCTTGATTAGTTTCCACCCATTGCTTCTTGTCCTGTCTTTAGGTGCTTTGGAGAATAGCTTGACTCCCTCTTCTTTGTGGCAGCCCCTGAGATATTGGAACAGTGCTATCATGTCTCCCCTAGTCCTTCTTTAATCTTTTAAATTAAATTAATTTAAAATTCTTTAAATTAAATCCCAAAATCCTTTAAGTCTCTGTCTTGAACGTAATCAGCTACTCGCTTCTTTATTTCCCCAATTTGAGAATGCTTGCATGAAATATAAAAGTATATGTATAAAGACGTGCCTCTAGATTTCTGATATATTTATAGTAAATGTCATAGAAGTGCATAAAAGGCATCCATTATAAGCAGATACAAAATTATCATATGAACGTATGTAAGTTTCGAAGTATTCTTCAATAAACTCAGAAAAGAGATGTTTACTGGAGGAACCCTGAAATGAGTTAAATCTGCTTTTCTCATGTTTTGCTCTTCTTTTTTTTCATGTCTCATTGGAAACAACTTGTAAATTGGGAAAAGGATACATTAAGGAGAAGGAAGACAATGGGAAAAAAGTAAGTGGATCTGAAGGTTTTCTCCAAACTATATATAATTAACAAGCATTGTGGGGAAATGAGCAAAGATTTGTACTTAGTTCTAGGAAAGTTGAAAGAGTAACCTAATTCTGAATTATTTCAAGAGCATAGATCTCATTGGGGTGAGAATTATACACTGCATATTTTTACAGGAAGAGTCCAATTAACATCTGCTATGTCTACAAAGAATACTTACTACTCCCCCATCTACCCCATGGAATATTTATAGCTGATCTCACTTCTCTTGTCTACTGAAGAGGAAACTCTGTGTGTCATAAGATGGAAACAGTTTTGACTTAAACAGCTGGAGTTTACATTTCCACACTGGGAGGTCTTTAAAACATTTGTTTGTTTACTACTTCTCAGAAAACTTTGGGAAAGCCCCAAATACAATCCCACACTATTCTGCATCTCATAGAAAACAGATGACATGCCAGCAAGCTCTCTATTACACCTGTACAGATTTGAAACCAGAAATGCTCTGGAACAGGGGTCTCCAACCTTGGCAACTTTAAGCCTGGTGGACTTCAGCTCCCAGAATTCTGGGAGTTGAAGTCCTCCAGGCTTAAAGTTGTCATGGTTGGAGACCTCTGCTCTGGAACACCTGAGGCATGCACAAAGTTTCCCTCTGCAACTCCATAAACCCAAAACTTCTTTACAAGCATCAGACAGTCAGTGGAAGATGGGTGGGGGAACAGGTAAGTAGCAAAGTAGTCAAATTAACATTGTGCCCACACATTGCAAGCTACATCCCTTGTGACATGCACTGTGTCATCATATGAATACAGGTAGTCCTTGATTTACAGCAGTTCATTTAGTGACCGCTCAAAGTTACAACAGCACGGAAAAAAGCGACTTATGACCGTTTTTCACAGTTACAACCTTTGCAGCATCCCCATTTTGATCACGTGATCAAAATTCAGATGCTTGGCAACTGGTTCATACTTATGACAGTTGCAGCGTCCCAGGGTTATGTGGTCACTTTTTTGCAACCTTTTGACAAGCAAAGTCAATGGGGAAGCCAGATTCACTTAACAACCGAGTTACTAACTTATCAACTGCAGTGAATCACTTAACAACTGTGGCAAGAAATGTCATAAAGTGAGGCAAAACCCACTTAACAAAGTATCACTTAACAACATACATTTTGGGCTCAATTGTGGTCATAAGTCTGCATATGAAAGGAGCAGTGCTAGTGAAAGATATTGCAATTGAATTATGGCACCTTGTTGAGAGAAAGGACTCTAAAAATATCCCAGTGTATTCCAAACAATCTTGGTTTGAAAATCAGAAACATTTTCCCTCCTCCTTTTATTATTTTCCTAGTTATTTTCCTGAAGATAGCAATTTTGTAAAACCTCAGTTGCCATAATATTTAGTTATCTGTCACATTTCTACATTATGGTTCATAAAAGTTTACAATACAGGCAAAAAGAATAAGAAGCAAGAATAGGTAATCAAAAACCTATACACGAACAGGTTAATGAAAGTTGTAAATGAAACACACTACGTTAATATGTTAATGTTGTCCACCTACTGCTCCAGAGATGAAAGCCAGGTGCTCTTGACAGGTCTGTCATGCAGATAAAGGTGGAAGTGACCACCAGCAAGGTAGATAGACTTGAATTCAGTAGAAATGGGTGCACCATTGGAAACCTGAAAAGTCTGACTGAAAGCAGATCATGTTTAATGTTTAAACTGCACAGTTTATTTGTGTGGTTGCTAGGAGTCAGTACCAGTTTGATGGCATGTAATCATCATAAGCAATTCTCCAAAAGGCTTCATTTTCACCTGTTTCTGGAACTCAACCCAGAAGGATGCTAATCTGATTTTATTTGGGAAACTGTCCACAACACATAGCTGAAAAAAGAGTTCCTGCATGCTTCTGCACCCCTTACTCTACTAAACTGGGGAACCGTGTGCTGGGATGACCATGCTGGGCTGATCTTCCTTCTTCCAACATCAGCAGGAACTGTCATCTGAGCAAACTACAGAGCCTCCAATCTCAACCCTCATAGATATCCAGGAGAATATCATGGTCAATAGTGTTGAAGGTTGCCTAGAGAACTAAATGGATGAAGGACATGCTAACCTTACCTCTCTCCCAGCAAAGGAGCATCACCAACGTTAAAGACATTTATTGCCACTAGGGATTTGGGACACATTCTTAAAACATTGCCTATATACTCTGAGAGGTTCTCCATAATGTTAAGAAGCTCTGAAAATTGTAGTTGACTGGAGTTATGATTTCAGTTGGAGCATCCACTCCCAAACCACAGCATATTATAATATGGGAACAAAAAGGAATAAAGGAACAAATGTAAGAATATCTGTGTTGCCCATAACTATAGCTGTGTGGGTGGTCATTTTTTCTCTCGCCTTGCCTTTCAACATTCCTCCCTCCTTCTCCCCCGCACTCCTTTCCTTGCCTTCCTTCATTTACTGGATGAATTAGATTTCTTTATCAGGACTACATCATCTGATGAAATAGGTTGTGATCTCAAAAAAAAAAAAAAAAGGCAATAATTGACTGACCTTTAACATCCCAGTAGCCTCTTAGTTCTTTTTGCCGCAAAAAACCCCTAGCTCTGAAAAGGGTTGCTATTTTTATGCTCTTATTTTTATAACGTGGTGTTGTGACATTTTTGTGGCATGGAAGGTGGACTGAAAAAATAATTAAATTTTATGTTTAAATATAACACGTCAATATACTTAGATAAAACCTGTCAGCTTTGCTGCTGGATGCAGGTGTGTGCCGCAATTTGTTGAGATGCTCATGATTTGCACCAAATGTTTCTTTGCCCCTATATATGTAATCAGTTGAATTAATATATGAGGCATGATATTTTCTGGAAATGCTTATTCCCCACCCACCCCCACCCCTTAAGTAATGCTCTATTTAATCTCTGTAAAAACCACACAGTTACAAAAGAACCAAGGTGCCAGACTGGGCTTCCTGAAATCAAATAAGGCCTAAATCTAAGGATATGATTCATCCACCCACCTCATCCCACACACACTTACACTTGCATACCAGACATAAATGAAAAGACTTCTATTATTAATCACAGTCCCCCCCCCATTTTTTTGAAAATCAGATTTTTCAAGTATTCAAGTAAGATCCCCCTCAGCCCCCCCTCGGGAAATGTGATTAATGCTCACACTACTTGCCTTTCAGTGTGAAATGTTATTGTGGTAATATTATTGTGGTAATATTATTAGAAAGTACCTACTAACATTACTTGGGGAATAACCCTGTGTCACCTTTGGCACTCCTCAAGGACCATTGGTGTATTGTGCTATCTTCCTTACTTTTATTCTTTGTTTCTGTGTGGTACTGACACTGATATCCTTATTCTCCCCCACCCCCTTGCTTTCAGTGGGAGAGGGGAAAATAGGAAGGAATACTTCTGGGTTTTGAATTTGTGGAAATCTTCTGGTGACCTTAATATGTGTATTCTGGGTACGTCAGCACATTGCAAGTTCCTTCAAGCTGGTGGGATGCAGGCCACCATAGACGGGCATGCAAGATTTGAGATCCTGTCATGTTCAGAATAGCAAACAGGTAAAACTGGGCTATGTTTTTACTTGTGGCATACTAGCTGAACCATTCCTAACTGCTATGTGGAAATGCTGCAAATAGCATGTGTACAACTAAAACTAGTGATTTTTTTTCTACATCTCTTCCATCTTACCAAAAGTGTTATAGGAAAGAGTAATTGACCAATGCCACCACAGACAATAGAAATTAATTTCTGTGGAGCTCATCTAACAACAGACACACTGAAAATGGAAATATGAAATAGAAGGCAAGTAGATGTGGCAATAAAGGCGTGAATTAATGTACGAATAAAAAAACACCCAATAACATATCAACATATTTTCTGTTATCAAGCTGAAAGAAGGAATGCAATAGACTTGAATGAAGGTGATCTAGTCTTTTGGAGCTATTGAATACAAATATGGAAATGGAATTGTAAATTAAATTTTACAGATTAAATTTTTATATCAGAAAGTATGAGTTGATGCCATGTAGGGCATCATGGATGCAATTTGAAAGTAGAAATTCATAGTTGAGTGATAATTGCAGATTATGCTCCAGAAATGATAATAATGGAAGAATCAGCGGTAAGTTATGTAACATTCTGAATGAATTGATCTGGGGGGAAAAAATATTTTGCCAGGTGACATATGGGAACAAGATGCAAGAATTCAGAAAAAGTGTCTGAGTTTTCCTTCCTTTGAGCTGAATGTCTATACAGATTTTCTGTCATGGTTGTCCCAAAAGTGCTTTTTCAAAAGGCAACTGGACTTTGTTTTTCCTTGAAGACTTCTCATCCAAGAAGCTTCTTCAATTCTGAGGAGGATTGAAGGACTGACCGCAAGGAATATAAAGCCTTCCATCCTCCGCCATTCAGTCAGAACTGAAGAGGCTTTCTTGGATGAGAAGCGAAACATCTTCAAGGAAAAACAAAGTCCAATTACCTTTTGAAAAAGCACATTTGAGCTGGGATTTCTGCACATACCAATTACATACACACACACACACACACACACACACATACACAAAGTTAAAATATTAAAATGCAAATACCTGTAAGTACAAAACGGCTTTTTAAAAAAGCCAATTCTATTATACACTCAAATAGATTCTCTACCTCCCTTTATCGACACTGCTGAAATAGCATGGTGATTAAGATTCTCACTTGGCATTATAAAGGCTGCTGGTTTGAAACACCACAGCAACTATTTTTAATTGCATTTTTATCTTCAATAGCTAATTTTCTCCCTGGGCTTTTTCCCCATTCTTTTTAAAAAATAAGTCTAGAGTTTTGCTTTTTGTTTTTACATTTTTCCAGTCACTGAAAGGTAATAAGTTTTCACCACCGACTATCAAATAGCCCAAATAGTGTTGAGAAATATTAAGGGTGCATGTGAAGATGGTGTAACTGGAGAACTTTAAAAAATACGGGTGTAGTTTGCTTAGGGAATTCTGATCATTGGGGTAGTAGCTGCAGTTATTTATGTGATGATTAGCAAGATACAGAGCAGCATTTGAAAGTTTATGGGCCTCGACGACAATCCTTCGTGGTTGACTGTAGATCACTGAGATTTAGAAGAAGACTTCTAAGTCCTTTTTTAAATCTCCTCTTTTGGTCAAAGAGTCGCTCTGTGAATGACATGGGTGGTTTCTAAATTTGATATATAAGTAAATAATACCAAAGCTATAAACTTTTCAAAAATGAAATGACAGGTTCATGTGGAGAAAGCACATTTCATTTTATTGTAATTGAGGACAGGTTTCTGATCATTTGTATATAATAATAATACTAAAATAGGAGTATTGTCCAGCATGTGGGACAAGGGAATAATACACAGGTTTTGTTAAATTTCTGTGGAGTGTCTGGATGACCGCTAGTATGACACAAGTCAGCAACGGCAGCTGATAAGACTGCTTTTGAATGGATGCTCATCAGTCAAACTCATCTTTGAAGACCTGGATAAAATAATCTGCATGGATGATACGGCATGGAGAAGATGAGTGATATCAATATGGAAGTCCATCATTTTATATTGACTTTTAGCATTTCTGATGAGGTCAGATTACCTCCAACTGCTTTGTTTAAATTTAACAATTTCTACGGGTGTCTCAAGGAGCATCAGCTCCATTAGGAAAAGCAGACCAGCAAATCGTCTCCAGAAGAATACTAAAACTACTTTTATTGAGATTGCTCATTGTAGTTGAATCTTGCAAGTTTGATTGTAGTGAACCCCTTCCCACTTTTTATGTCAACTAGGGCTTTGCCTGAGCCTCTTCTGAATATTATATACAGTATATATAATATTTGCCCTGAGTCTTCGGAGAAAGGCGGCATATAAATTAAACTAATAAATAAATAAATAAATAAATATTGTCTGTTTGTTGTGAACTTACACGTATCTCATCCCTCCTCACTTTGATAAAGGAGCTTACGTATTTCCATCAAAATCATCTTTCTTATTCTCTACAAGGGGCCAATTTGATATGGCCTCAGAGCAAAGATCTAATGAAGTTGTCCCTTTAGACACTTGATTAAATGTACTATGGAAGTATTCAGCACACATCTTGATGACAATCAAACAGTGAGACTTATCAGAAGTTTTGGGAAGGAAAGGCAACTGAGTTCCAAATAAGAATTCTTTTCTCCTGCTGTCTGAACAAGCTTCTTCTAGTTGATTTTCTGGGCCTATAGCTTTTTTGCTCTTTGGTAAAGATTTATATGCTTTTTTCTTTCTCATTTCAAGGACAATTCCTCACAGAAAGGGTGTATTTGATGCTCTGTAATCTCTGAACCTTTCAATAAAATTGGCTTTGTCATTCACACATTCACGCTCAAGCCATGGCTTTGAGAATCATTTGTCTTTTTGGAACATATGTAGAAACTGAATAATGAGCAGCTTAAAATTGCACAAGACTTCTAAGTCAGATAGAGAGCTAAGCTGAAGCTGGCAGGCGGTATCTGGGTTTAGAAAAATGAAGAATAGCACTACTTCCTTGGTCTCAAGATGCCTTCCCTGGGGGGATTTCTCTGTGAGAGCAGGAATTCATTGCTAATTTGAGTGGGAAGCCATCACTCTCAGACTCTGCAGCAATTTGGAAAGAAATAATCTGATTGACTAAACTAGATAATGCTAGAAGGAAACCAGTTGTACCAGGCCCCCATCCTGCCCAATAAATAAGCACTCCATTGGAGATTCCTTAAATGGATTCATTATGGATACAGAAAATTTTTTTAGTGGGGGTGGGGGTTTGTCTCAATCTCCAAACCTTGTGATCCAATTCCAAATCTCTTGAGGAAAGAAATAAGATGGAGAATAATCAGGGAAAGAGGGGAAGATGGAGGCAGAGCTAATGAAACAAGTGAACAAAATTCTGTTTAATTTGGCATTAAACCCTCTAGCCATTCCAAAATACAATTCTCCTTTTTGTCTCCAATTTTGTTACCTTGATGGAATACTGAGGGAGAAGATACAGAATGATCATCAATATAATTTGCATTGTTTGGCTTGTATTGTTTGGCAAGACAATGGTGGGGAGACATCGTCGAGCAGAATTTATCCAAAATTACCCTTGGGGGCAACCCTATTTAATGTTTGTGGTTGCTTGCAAGTTCTGTCCCAGGTTGCAGGCACACACATACAAAGACACAAGTGTTAAGGAGTTGTCTAGTACCACTAAGATAACAATAGACAAGGCTCCAAATAGGTTTGGAGACAAGGCTCCAATCGAAGGCTCCAAATAGGTTCCAGAAGTTGAGTCAGGAAATTAGCCAATCCAGTAGTCAAGGGCAAGGAAATGCAGGAACAAAAGTCATGAGTTGGAAATCTG